AAAAAAAAAAAAAAAAAAAAAAAAAAAAAAAAAAAAAAAAATAATTTGTTTTTTTTAACACAGTTGTTTTCTTTGTGTCACCTTGCATCTTTTTTTTTTCTTACAGTTTCAGTTTGTAAATTCTTATCTCAGCCTTTTTTACATCGGATTCTACCTCAAAGACATGGAGCGCCTGAAGGAGGTACGAAACGTTCAGATGATTTTCTGTCGCACATTTGCTTCTGAATTAGCTCCGTCTTACAGAATGTGTGCTAACAGTCCTTCATCCTTGAGTGCTTGGCTGTATATGTCTTCTTGCGTTGATTTCTGTACCTGCTCATCTACACATGCGTCCGTGTTTGACCATTTGTTCAAAATGCTGCTGGTGTTGTGTCTGTTACGGAGTCTGCAGCGGCAGGTCAGGGACAATTTGCTGCCTTACCTTATTGACAAGATTCAGATGGTTTTGGTCTTTGTTCTCATGTTCTTCATGGCTTTTCTCAGGTCCAAAGTACAAAGTATGATTCCTGTGGAAAAGACAGTATCTTTCTGGCCACCTCTGTCATATCTCACACATTCGTGACCTTGTAGCTTCGTTTGTTCGGGTTGATCTTTTTCCTGCCCTGGCTATATCGCTGTTTATAATTTTCTTTTTATAAGCTTTGCAAATGTTCAGATTCTGACTGATTATAACTACATTCTTGTTATTTTTAATGGTTGATCAAAACCGGTCAACACATTTTTAAAATCAAAAGTAAACTGAGATTTAAAAACGGCATTCTTTAGGAGATTTAGCCATATTTTTCCTTTTATTGTGTGAAAACATCAGAGATGTTTGGGCTTTTCTTTCCATATTTGTGTGAGTACATTTTCCACAGCCCTTCTCAGAACTCAGAAGGTTTAAGTCTCTGTTGCACTTTCAGTTCCAGTGACGTTTTGCTGAGTTTGTCTCTTAAAATCACCTGACTCTGTGGTTTTCATCCATCCAACTGGTGCAACACAGACCCTCCAAATATGTAATTTGTCAAAAAACTACAGTAAATTGAGCTTGACAGTCTATATTACAGAGCTAAAATACATTAAAAAAAAAAACAACATGGACTAGATTATTTAAAAAGAAATAGAAAAAGCCTGCAAAGATCTTAAATAAACTTTATTATTCTCTGTTTTCACTGATTGTTAAAGTGTGGCTCAATTGTTTTAGCTCGAACCATTCCAGCTGGGCCCAGTGGGAGAATGGTTTTTCCTATTTTTCACATTTGTCCTTGTGCTTGTTCTTTCAGGAACTGAGGGGAACTGAGTTTAGTGCAGCATTTTATTTTATTTTTGTAACGCTTCCCATCATTCTCACAGCCTTGTTATATATTAAACGGCACAGTAAATGGAAGTCGCAGTTGTTGGGTCGTGCAGATTTTTAATGTTAGAAATAAATAAAACATGAGCTGGTGGAAATAATTTCTCTTTGCAAAGGAAAATATCGAGTATAAATGTCAACGCTGAAGGTAAACAGTCATTCGGCTAATTGGCAAATGTTTACAGCAGAAAGTTGGAGGAACATTAAGTTTTATTTCCTGGAAGTGTGTTTGAAACTCAGGGTGAAAATCAGCTTGCAAATATTGTTCTCTCTGTCATATTTTGACTCAAGTGTGTAAATTTAAATGTTAATTAAGATAAGATAAGATAAGATAAGATACGATAAGATAAGATAGAACTTTATTGATCCCGCAGGAAATTGTTGTGCCAGAGTTTCAGTACGAAGGAGCATACACAAGGAAACGCACAAGATATAAAAAAAATAACAGAGATTACAGTTCAAATGTATATTTAATAAAGTCCAATTTAATTCTATCAGAGTACAGATTGAGAAATCAGTTTATTTATACAGAGGAGAAAAACACATTTTATGAGCAAAATTGGTAAATAAACATAAAAACAGCATAACTAAAAGGAATATTCAGTCCAAACTTTAACCTTAATCAAAAATGACTTTTTAATCTTTTTTGACGTTTATCTATACTTAAACTTTGTGTCTTTTACATTCAGTCACGGCACCAGCGACCCCCGTGACCCAAAATGGAATAAGCGGGTAAAGATAATGGATGGATGGATGGGCATTCAGTCACATAATTTCTGAGCGCTAACCGATCCTGCAAGATCTCACAATACCAGAGATTATGCATAATGTTGTTTATGAGATTTGACCACACCTGTTCCTTTTTTAATATAAGATGATTTTAGTTTTCAAAGTCTGGCCTGAGAGGAGCTGGATAAGAAGCATTCCTTCAAGGAATATTAAGCCTTTCATATTGAAAACAGTGATTTTAGCTGTCTTAATATTTTATTTTAATATTAAAATTATTATTTTACACTTCGGCAGCACAGTGACGCAGTTGGTAGAGCTGCCCCCTCTCAGAAAGCAGGTTGCTCCGGTTCAAACCCTGTCCTGGGACCTTTCTTGGTGGAGTTTTCATGTTCTCTCCAGGTTCTCCGGTTTCCTCCCACAGACTAAAAACATGCATGTTAGACTGATTGGTAACCCTAAATTGTCTCTAGGTGTGAGTGAGAGAGTGAATGGTTGTTTGTATGTGTCCCTGTGATGGACACAGTGACTGCTGGACATGTGCACCAGTGACCTGAAAAGGAAGAAGCGGGTAAAGATGTGGATGGTTGGATGGATTTTACATTTCTGGACACAACTCAGTCACAGACATTGACATTTTTTACATGGAACTAACCTGCTGCGCTTTTCTCCTTCATGTGATTTATTTTGGGATAGAATAATCAAAACTAATGGTTTTTATATTGATTTGATGATTTTTTTTTTTTTGTCCTGTGTGTCCTCACCAAACAACCAGAGACACGCAGCCTTTATCCTCAGACTCTAACACATTCCTGGGACGTGTCTATGCTCTTATCAATGTGTTTTGCTCATTTGGTGTCTTGTTTTGTCAGATGCTGGCCACTCTTCTCATCATCCGTCAGTTCCTTCAGAACGTGAAGGAGGTGCTGCAGCCTTACCTGTATGAGCGCCACAAGCTGGGCGAGCTCACCGTGAGAGCTGTGTGGGATCTGCTGCTGTCAGTGCTGCTGAAATACGCCAGGCTGGCAGCCGGAAAGGCCCAGGCCTCTCCCACGGACCAGATCATGCCAGGACCTGGACTGAGGGGCTCCAGGCTCGGAGCGGGGCCAACAGGTCTAAGGTCACAGTATTTAAAGTCTAAATCTGCTTGTTGCTACAGAGAGGGTGGAACGATGCATGGAGAGCAGCCGACACAGATCATTTCCACTCGCAGTGTTAGTCACCACAAACACAACCGCCTGGGTTTGGTCAGAACGCCACTTTAGCTTCCTCTGCTGTCGTTTGCACGCCGTTATGATTCACGCCCTTCAGACAGTTCACACACTCACTTTGTCTGATGTCTAGCCCTCTCTTTCACTCCTCGCAGAGAAAAGAAGTGTTTGAACGGAGGCTGTGGAGTGCCTGATGAGGAGGAGAGAGGCGAGAGGGACGAGGCCGACAGCGGGAGGTTCAGTGAAGGAGAAACGGAGGAGGAGAACGTGATCGACTGCGGTTTGAAGCTGAGGAAAGTCAGCTTCATAGAGAAGGTGCAGCGCCGAGCGTGGGTGAACTTTCTGAGCATGTTGTGGGAGTAAGAATAGTAACAGCAGCTGTTGGGGATTGTTTGTGTTGTTGTCAAGGTGGACAGAAGGCCAGTCTGTGGTGGAGCCTCCCTAGAAAACAGTTTCATGGAAGAAGGGAGCCCCACTATGGTGGAGAAAGGAATGGACCCTGCCTCTGTGTTTGAAATGTGCGATGACGAAGACGATAATGGGATCCATGATGTAAAGGAGTCAGGAGGAGGCGGGTCTGAGGGAATTAATGCTGCGGCTGCTGGCAGCGCCGCCCCGCTGCCCCCTGGCTCTGAGAGCGGCACGTCACTGCGACACAGAAGAAGAGGCCAGAGCGCGGAGAGGACCGAGGCCAAAACCAAGAGGGACTCATGGATGGAGCCTCCTGAGGAGACGGAGAGCACCACGCTCACTCAGGCTGAGATGGAGAGCTGCATGCAGACATATGCTGTAAGGAGTCATCTCTGCTTTTAGCTGCTATAAAAACCATCAACTTACTGTTACATGTACTTTCAAATAAGACAAAACATAATCATTTACCCTGAGTATTAGAGTTTGGTTTGAGGCACCATCTTGTCCCTCTTAGGACACCTTCCAGGACTATCAAGAGATGTTTGTCCAGTTTGGCTACGTGGTTCTCTTCTCCTCCGCCTTCCCTCTGGCTGCCATGTGTGCACTCATCAACAACATCATCGAGATCCGCAGCGATGCTTTCAAGCTGTGCACGGGGCTGCAGAGGCCGTTTGGAGTCCGAGTGGAGAGCATCGGCCAGTGGCAGGTGAGAAACTATTCCTGAATAAAAACACTTTTTTTGCTTTCTTTATGAACTCATTCACCCAACAAAAGGGACAAATACAATATTGCGATGCTGCTGTCGTATGGTGTGTTGGTGTAACGGCACTGGATTTGAACATCAGAAGCATCTCATAATTATGTAAAGAGAAATAACATTTGCTGTGACACAAACTAATGACATTAAATTTGGCTAAAAATAACTGCACAGAAAAGAAGTGCTGACAATTTAAATAAAGAGTACTGTAGTCCCTCGTTTATCACGGAGGGATCTGTACCCCGAAGACCCGTGATAAGTGAAAAACTGCGAAGTAGGAATAGTAGTGCAAGTAGTTAGTAGTAGTTTATTTTAATTATTTATATATATAACCCTTCCCACACACTCTTGCAATATTCTAAACATTGTTTCTAAACTCTCAACGCTCTAAAAGAGCACAGCATGTCATGGTTTCAGCTCCCTGCCTCCTCTGCTCTTTGCCACCTGCAAGCGCTCTTGGCCACGCCCACTTTTTCGCCCTGCACGGCAAACAGCTGATCAGCTGCAGCAGGAAGTTTATCCTGCAGTATGGGTTGCACAAATGTGCAACAGGTGCTAAATAATTAAAAATAATTTATTTTAAATAAAAATTCCATGCCGATCATGCGGCTCATCCATCAGTCAGCCCATTGTGTGTCATGGCCAATCTTATTTTGAAAAGCCGCGATAGAGCGAGTCCACGATAAACGAACCGCGAAGTAGCGAAGGACTACTGTACTTGTAAATAAAGCTAACGCAACACTTTTTATCTCTCCTCAGACTGCGATGGAAGCTATGGGCCTGATCGCCATCATAGTGAACTGCTACCTGATTGGTCAGTGCGGTCAGCTGCAGCGCCTCTTTCCATGGCTCAGTCCTGAGATGGCCATCATCTCTATAGTCATCCTGGAGGTACTGAAGTGGTTAGAGCAGGGCTGTTTTAATGTTTTCAAAATAAGGGTTTTCTTTTTAACCCAACAGAGAATGTATCCGAATCAGAAAATATTCCATGTTGTTGGATAGCTCACTCTGTTTTTCTTTATTGCTCGTCTACCTGCAAGGCTTGGAGGAATATATGAAGATAAACCACGTAATCAGATGATACTTTGCTCTGCACTCTGTTGCTGTCGGTATCTGAACGAGCTGAGCTGTTTTTTTAATCAAGAAGTCAGGCGGATCAGAAAGGCGATTATTCAGCCCACGTGTTTTTGTGCAGGAAGTAATGTATCACATCTTAAACCGCTGGGGGCTTTTTCTCATGTCCATGAAAGATGAATTAAAGGATTTTTAAACGTATTATTCCCTACCTGTCTGTTTAGCACTTTGCGATCCTCCTGAAGTACATCATCCATGTGGCTATTCCCGATATTCCTACATGGGTCAAAGAGGAGATGGCTAAACTGGATTACCAACGCAGGGAGGCGTTTAAGGTAAAACGTGAGGCTGATATGGAAAAGTTCAAAATAAGATTTAAACTCACAAAAGACCTCCGTAGTGTGTTGTTTCACCAAAATGTTTTTGCAGCACTCCATTTTTTCTTATAATTATCTTCACAAGAAAAGCTTGAAGAATCGTTAGATTTCGTTCTGCTGTAAGACGATAGATTGGTGCAATACTGGAATATTCAAGAGGGGTTAGTTCTGATTCTCGTAAATGCAGTCTGTGAATTTCCCCCCCTCCTCTGCAGAAGCACGAGCGGCAGGCGCAGCAGCATTACCAGCAGCTGCAGAGGAGGAAGAGGGAGGAGGAGGAGAGGCAGAGGCAGGCGGAGCACATGGCCCGCAGAGAGAGGGAGCGAGACGATAGCAAAAGCGACATCGCCGGGGATCACCACCACGACAAAAACCACGGGAGCAAGTCTCGTTCCGGAGGGGGCGGAGGAGGAGGGGCCAGCGGCTCGGATAAGCCCAAGAGGCCCAGCTCCCTGCTGGCCAATAACAACGTGATGAAGCTGAAACAGATCATCCCGCTGCAGAGCAAATTCTCCTCGGGTGGCGCCCGCTCCCCTCAGTCGCCCACCGGCAGTGAACCTAAACTGCCCGGATTTTTGAGCTTCAAGTTCCTCAAATCGCCAGAAAACAAAAAGGAAGGAGCCGCAGCCTCTACTGCGGCCGCGGTCACTAACGCCACAGCAACGGCATCATCATCATCATCTTCATTATCAGGTAGCAGCTCTCAGGAGCGTTCTCAGTCACCCAGCAAAGCCTTCAATCCTGGGAAACTGTTTAACTTTGGGAAATCTGAAGGAGGATTGTGTGTGAACGGAGCTCCGGGGCCTAGATCTGGAGAAGGATCATCGTCATCATCATCATCACAGACATCAGAAAGACAAACCTCCCGAGCTGACTTGAACAGTGTTCCCGATGAGATCCCTTCACCTCCAAGAGAAGGATCAGAAAACGGCTATTCAGCAGATTTGGACCCGGCCAGTTCGAAGGTCTAACTCGTCTGCGGATCAACCGAAGAGTTGTGCTTACTGTGAGAAAAGGCCCGGCGTACCTCCATTAAGCCACGACGAGGCAGAGAGGAAAAGACGAAACCGCCGAGAGATGACAGTTGATTTGGTTTTATTTTTTTATTTTTTATTTTGCAGAAAAAAGAAGAAAAAAAAACAAACGAAAAAAAAACGGGCTTCATAAAACTGACGTAAACCGTTCTATCGTAATTGAGTAAAAACACACACACACTCAAATCCTTCCTTGTCTGCAATACATGAAGAAATGCATGAGCTGCATTTCCACTATTTTAAGCCTTTAACACAGAAAGCTATTTCTTGATTTCCTTTAGTCAGAAATTGTAAGCATCTTGGTGGCCTCATAGGAAAAAAAACAGTCCGTTGTGGGAAAACGTGCGTTATAATAAATAATAGTGGTATGAAAGAATAACTGATTTAACAACAAATCATTTTTTTCAAGCTATTACATCACAAGTGGTCATTTTATCTCTTTATAGTGTGATAATTTCTTGGCCTTTTCCTCCTGAGGTGGAAAAATTGAAAAGCAATATCGGTTTTAATAGTTGCAGTTAATCGTCACAAAAAGCCCTCGTTAATCCTCATCCCTGAAAAATCACCAGCTTTAGTTTTGAAAGCAGAGGCGATGCCTTCACTGACCAGATTTATTTGAAAACAAAGAGCTTAGTAAGTCGAGCTGCCAGTGCCAGTATCACTCCTCAGAGAAAATGGAAAACCCACACATCAACACAGAAAAAAGCAGTCGATGATGGTGATTTTGAGGAAGTGGAGCGCTCTCCATCCACGCCTGTAAACAGACGGTGCTTCATTTCACTCACTCCACACAGACTTGGCAAATAAGTCCGAGAAGAGAAAACCGCAATAAACCCCGACCTGCATGGAGACTTTCCTCCTTTTAGGAGAAAAGCCCAACACCAGCCTGGTCCATCATGTTATGCAAACAGTCTTAATCCCAGCACCTGCTTGATTGTAGAATATTCAGATGGGCTTATTTTAATTTTTATAATGATTGTTTTAGGATTAATTTCATAACCATCTTCAGAATATTTGATTTAATCTAAAATGGTATTTTCCAGATAACACTGTTAACCTAAGATATATTCTACATAAGATTTCGGCTCTAAAAGGAAGTGAAGATTTTAAAAGAGTACACAAACAGAAAACAGTAAATCTGTTTTCCACTTTAATGATTCCCTCTTTTGTCACTGGTGCCCGTCACCTGTTACAGCTTGACTATCTTCGTTGGTTTTCTGCCCTGTTAGTCAAATATTTTGAAGTCCTTGCGCTACATTTTTGGATTCAGCTTGTGTCTTTGTGAACAAAATCCCATAACGGCTTGCTGAGATTGAAATCAGTCTCAGAGTCCCTGTTCTCACCTGGCACAGGTCAGCGCGGTTTAATCAGGTAAATATGACATTTTATTTAGATGATGCGTCAATTAGGAAAACAGTCTGAGCAGCAATGTGTCATATTCACCAAAGTAAACAGCGCTGACTTTACATTTACAGTGAACATGCATCAAGAGCAGCTGACGGCTGTTTTGCTGTGGTGCATTTTTACCCCATAGCAGAGCCACTAATTATGTTATGCACCCGTACATCCTTCATATCACATCTGTTTGGCAATTAAGAGTTGTGTTCAAAATAACTTTGCATAAATGAGACTCAAAAGGCTCTGAGTCATGTTGATGTCAAAGTAATACTAGAGAAATTGCATTTCCTGCAAAAATGCAGTGTGAATGTTTATTGCTAAATAACTTGTTGAAAAATAACTGAAATTAGCTAAAAACATGTTGAAATGTAGCTGAAATTGAAGAACGAGCCTAATTTAGCAGAAGAAAGTAGAAAGAACACATATTTGCTAAATTAGATTTAAATAAGCATCACAAAAATCAAGAAATTAGCTAAAAAAAAAAAGGCTGAAATTAGCAAAAATGAGCTGATAAGGCAGAAAGAAGCTTAAACTACCAGGAGGAAGTGGAAGGATCTGAAATGAGCTAAAAAAAAAAAAAAAAGTTGAATTAGCTGAAAAAAGCTCAAAAGTAGCCAAAATAGCAGAAAACCTGCAACTAGCTGAAAGGAGCATAACAAGCTGAAAATAACAGAAATAAGTTAATTAGGCTGAAAGTAGCAGAAATAACCCAAAAATAACTTGAATTTATCTGAAAAGCTGAAATTAGATGAAAACGGCTAAAAAAGTATCTGAAAAGGTAGAACAAGCTTAAATTAGCAGAAGAAAGCAGAACGAACACGTTTCCCAGTTAGACTGAAAGAAGCAGAAATGAGCACTAAAAAGTGAAAATTATCTGAAAAATTAAATGAGCAAAAAAAACAGCTTAAAAGCAGCTTAAGTTTTCTAAAATAAGCAAGGAAGTGCTTTATTAGGCTGAAAAAAGTTTAAATGAGTGCAAAAAAATGTGGAATTAGCCAAAAAAAACAAAAAGCTAAAATTAGCATAAAATAGCGAAATAGTAGCTGAAATAGCAGAAAAAGCTGAAACTTGTACAAATAAGCTGAAAGGAGCATAACAAGCTGAAATTAGCAGAAAGAAGTTAGAAGAAGGACAAAAATGTTGTAGTTAAAAGAACAAATCTGAAAGGAGCATAAAACAGCTCAAAAACAGCTGAAAGTAGCTGAAAATGTTTAAATTTGCACAAGGAAGCTGAAAGAAGCTGAGCCAGAACAAAACATGAAAGGAGCAGTAAAAGATTGTAAACACATCTAAAGATTTGAAGGATGTAAAATGAGCTCAATTCATTTTATATGAGAAAAAAAGGACAGAAAAGGCTAAATGTTTCAAATAGCTAATGTTGCACCAATACCAAAGTCACAGCATCCTTCTCCTGAACGAGCTGAATGTTTTGATATATGATTTGGTGAAATAGCACAAAAATTGTGGAACAAGAAAGATAACGAAAAACATACAGAAGAAAAACGTATCACAATAGTGCGAATGCTTCATAAACATTCACACAAATATAGTAATTTTGGAATGTTAAAGTTTTTACAGGAACAGCAGTGCACCTTGTTGCACCTTGTTGCACCTTGTTGCACACTGTGTGACGTGACCGACATCTGGTCACACAAACAACATTTTGGTGCCAGAATCGAAACAGATATTAGTGCAAGGTCTGAACAGGGCCTGAAGCCATTGTTAAAGACAATTTTTAACGATTCCAAAAATCTGGAAGTGCTGAAAGCGTTTGTACAGTACTGTATGTCGCCTAGTATATCTTTTTTTTTTTTTAGGACCAACAAATTTTCATGATAAGCCCATCATCTATTATTATTAATGCAGAGTCCAGAAGGTGGTGCTGATTTAAGCCACTACTTCCTCTTCATGACTTCATTGACATGTAGTCTACATGCATTGGATGACACACATCAGTGAATGTTTCCGAGGCCATTGCACTGTACTGTGGTACGAGACAGGAACATCAGCTATGCATTTACACACCTTCACCTCCAACAAGGACTTTGGCAATAACCCTGAGATGAAGATGTAGAAAAACAAGTTCAGGCCGACATCGCCACCTGCAGCTCCAGCTGTGTCATCCCCGTCCTGTTTCTGTGCATTAAACTTCACCGTTTGATCCTCGAAATCTCATTTTATGGGAAGATTTTGAACTTTTCAAGAGCAGAATGAATTTATCCCATCAGTCACTGTCAGATGAATTTACCAGCTTGAAACTGATTTTTTTTATATATGCTGTCACCTCTTTCATGTGTGAGCCTTTTATGTTGCTTTCAGTCAGAGAAGAGTGTATTTGATTTAACAGACAAAAAAATACACCAGAGGAGAAACAGAATAGCATTGTTAAATACATTTCTGTCAGTATAAAATATCTTTTTTAAATTTTTAATTTTTTAAGGCTGAGGGTAAACCTTTCACAGGCTGGTGCAGGCATCGGTAAAGGGAATTAAAAACAGCACGTTCCAACATGGCTGAGCTCGCTCTCATTAAAACCTTTTTGTTTGCAGCATTTCGGGGATGAAGGACATCACGATGCAGAAGAGTTCATTTGTCGTCTGTAAATTTGTGCAATGGAAGCACTCTAAAAATAGGAGCGGAGGGCAAAGGTCGAGCAATTTGCTGCTGCTGAGCAGTTTGGTCATATCCATTCAAAGTGGAAAATAATAACCAGAACTTGTCTTTGTACTCAAGGCAGCTGCTAAAACATCCAGAATATGAAAGGTCTTTTAATAAACTTTAATTTATTAATCAGATCTTGAACAGCTTCTGGATTTATGAAAAATGTTCATCTTTAATGTGAAACGGCAGCATTAGGTGTCATCAGGTCGAGCAGACAGACGAGACCCGGCTGAGGTTCTGCTTCTCCATCACCTGTGGTTCCTAACCATCAGTCTAGAGAAATTATTGCATTTGTCCGGTAAATGTTTCACGTTCTGGATTTAGAACCGGTGAGGTTCTAACTCCACAGCTTCAATAAACGTTCACTTCCAAATTTAGACGTTTTTCATGGAAGCCTTGCTGACATCAAAGAACATCACACGCTCTTCCAATGTAAAAAAAAAAAAAAAACACTTTTAAAGATAAATACTGGAAAATGGGATTATTTATTTCTTTTATTTTGTCATATTTTTGTAAAAATCTGAAAAATAGTTAATAAAACTCTTCAAATGCATTTTGTGCAGTTTGCTTTTTCTTTCAAACTTGTTTCTTTCCTTACAAATATTGACGTTTACAGATAAAATTAAAAGCCTCGTCATAATCATTCAGTAGTTTTAGAAGATAATCTTATTTTGAATATCATAACTGAGGATAATGTTACACCTAATCTTGGATCACTCAATACTAGCACATCACATTTTAGCTCGGCATCTGTAAAAATGACTCAATTGCAGCCAATTTTGTTTTAGCTAACGACTCAAATAGGCAATTTAGGTTTTTTTCCCTACAGGTGCTGGTCATAAAATTAGAATATCATGAAAAAATTGATTTATTCAGTAATTTCATTCAAAATGTGAAACGTATATTATATTCATTCATTACTCACAGACTGATATATTTCAAATGCTTATTGCTTTTAATGTTGAGGATTATAACTGACAACTAATGAAAATCCCAAATTCAGCATCTCAGAAAATTAGAACATTGTGAAAAGGTTCAATATTGAAGACACCTGGTGCCACAGTCTAATCAGCTAATTAACTCAAAACGCCTACAAAAACCTTTAAATAGTATCTCAGTCTAGTTCTGTAGGCTACACAATCATGGGGAAGACAGCTGACTTGACAGTTGTCCAAAAGACGACCATTGCACAAGGAGGGCAAGACACTAAAGGTCATTGCTAAAGAGGCTGACTGTTCACAGAGCTCTGTGTCCAAGCACATTAATAGAGAAGCGAATGGAAGGAAAAGATGTGGTAGAAAAAAAGTGTACAATCAATGGGGATTACTGCACCCTGGAGACGATGGTGAAACAAAACACATTCCAAAATGTGGGGCAGATTCACAAAGAGTGGACTGCAGCTAGTCAGTGCTTCAAGAACCACTACGCACAGACGTATGCAAGACATGCGTTTCAGCTGTCGCATTCCTTGTATCAAGCCAATGGGATTAACCTGCCTAAATAAAGGTTGAATGTTCTCTGATGAAAGTAAATTTAGTATTTCCTTTGGAAATCAAGGTCCCAGAATCTGGAGGAAGAGAGGAGAGGCACAGAATCCACGTTGCTTGAGGTCCAGTGTAGTTTCCACGCCAGTGATGGTTTGGGGTGCCATGTCATCTGCTGGTGTTGGTCCGCTGTGTTTTTTGAGGTCCAAGGTCAACGCAGCCGTGTACCAGGAAGTTTTAGAGCACTTCATGCTTCCTGCTGAACGACTTCAGAGATGCAGATTTTATTTTCCAACAGGACTTGGCACCTGCACACAGTGCCAAAGCTACCAGTACCTGGTTTAAGGACCATGCTATCCTTGTTCTTAATTGGTCAGCAAACTCGTCTGACCATAACCCCATAGAAAATCTATGGTGAAGAGGAAGATGCGATATGCAGCTCCTTTATGTCTGGATTACTGCAGCAATGCGGCGTGGCATGGAGTCGATCAGTCTGTGTCACTGCTCAGGTGTTGAGAGCCCAGGTTGCTCTGATAGTGGCCTTCAGCTCTTCTGAATGGTTGGGTCTGGCCCCCAGTATTGAGTGCTGTACGTGCTCATACTTTTCCAACATTTCTAAAAATATATATTTTTTTAAAAATTGGTCTTAAGTACTGTTCTAATTTTCTGAGATACTGAATTTGGGGTTTTCATTAGTTGTCAGTTATAATCATGAACATTAAAATAAATAAACATTTGCAATATATCAGTCTGTGTGTAATGAATGAATATAATGTTTTTTTGAATGGAATTACTGAAATAAATCAACGTCTTCGTGATATTTTAATTTTATGACCAGCACCTGTATAAGAGCTGATGGAGTTCAGTTAAGGCTCAAGCTTTATTCAGCAATACAAAGTGCTAAATGTGTGAATCAGCTGTGATATGATCATCTTTCTGCCAAACTGGTGATTTAATCTGATGGCCACCTGGAAGTGTCCTCAGGTAGGAAAACAATTACCACATTGTACCAGTATGTTAACTGTGTATGAATACAAAAACTTCATAAATATATAAGAAAACATGTCAAGTTGACTCAATCTAAAGAACATTACAGACTAAACAGTAAAGTAAATCAAAACGTCTCAGGCTCCTTGGCGTTCTTCATTCCTTCGTGTTTTCACATCGTGGAAATTTTAGCACAACACAGTTTTCATGAAACATTTTAAATACAAGACAAAAAAAATGTCCCAGTTTCAGTCCATTTTTATTTAAGCAAAGCTTAAAAGAACATCTGATCCAACACACGGGACGGGGCGAGGCTTAAGGGTGTAGCCGAAGTCTACCAGAGCAGAAGCATAACATGATCATATGCTTAAAAACAAACGGTTGGTAGGAACTACACTGTTAACCCACACTGCAGCATGGAGCCATTAAAGAACAGGAGGCTTTGAGGTGAATCCGCAGGGCAGCGAGAACGATGAGCTTTATTCAGCGTTGCCGTTTATGATACCAGAACAAACAGGTTGGGCTGCTGCACGTCGCTGTGCAGGAAGTGATGTGTGCTGCCAAAGCTGGGGCGCAAATGGATCCAAGCTATAACGACGAGTTGTAAGGCCTCTTGGCTGATACCCTTCAAAGTCACATCAGACAACATGTCAACTCCAGCTGTCTTTGAAATGTACTGGTCCCAGAACAGAACACCCAGAACCAGATCCCATCCGTTGGGTACCAGGGCACTTCTCATGATCATCATGCAGGACTTCTACCGACTCCATGGGCGGTTTGTTCAACAAAACAGGGGGAACACAAGGATTCTCAATTGGATAAACTAATTATTTACACACATTTCCTCATATCACTCACTACCCCCCACCCCTCACCACCACCACCATCTGCGCAGTTAGCAGGTTGTGCAATTGAAGATGTGCTCTTTATATTATTTTCAAATTTAGGCAAATTTGTCTCATGTTTTGCAAAGAGAAAATCCCACTTTTTTAAAGTCCGAATGAGTCAGAATGTGGTGCCAGATGTGAATCCATCTCAAGCACATCCTACGAGCACAACTCACAGAACAGAATACAAGAACCAGTATTCACTCTTATCTGTCTGGGGGCGGGGGGGGGGGGGATTCTGGAAGAGTTCGCTCAACTTTGTGCTCGTCATCACAGTGCATCCAGGATTTTGCGGTTTCAAACAGCTTTCCGAGATGTCGCAATGCCCCCATGTGGTTCAAAAGTGGGCAGTGAAACAGAATGGGCACTGTGGCTGGCAGGAAGCTCATTGCCATACAACAACAACAGCAGGTATAGTAGAATTAAACCAGTAACAAAATGCTCAAACTGATCAGAGCAGACTCTCCAGAGGACAGAAGACTACACAAGTTAGTTGTGTTTTTAAGTAGTGTCTGACCTTTTCTGTTAAGTCTGTTTCTCTCCTAAATCTACACACTTGAAGAATCTCTCACCTCAAACATACAGAACACCACGAGTTCACAGCTCAGCATGCACACGAACACATACGAGTATACTGACCCACACAGGGAATAGTCAGCGTGTCCTTCACATAAGAATTAAAATAATTATAATAAAAAAAGAGTTCTGACTCAATTTCTAGACCATAACTGGCCCAACTGTTGACATGATTTCCTAAAATCTCTGTGTATTTTCATTTGACGCCAGAACAGTCAAAGTTTTTGTTTTTCTTCCCCAGAGGGTGTTATCTTAGGTTTAAGGTTTACATGACTACACCTTGTATGAGCAAATACACATGTACAGTATTCTCTCACACACACACACATACACACACACTTTCTTATGAGTCATCATTCATCTCTTGGCTGTCTGTCCTTGCAATCTTCCTGGGGGGCGTTGGGCTGTCACCTTCGCCTTGTTCTTGTTCCCTTTTCTTTGCTGCATTCTGTTTGAAACAAAAAGATTTTCCAACAAAAGCACAATTTATTTTCATTAAATTATTAACCTGCTATGCATCAAAACAAATATTACCACAACCTAATATATCGTTCATCGTGCAGGATCTAGTTTAGACTAATAAATAAATTCCTGCCAGCGTAGGACAAACAGGAAATAGAGCTCACCTTTTTGTCCCACTGCTGATGCAGGTAACGCAGAAGGATGTTTGTTTTCTCCGTAACTATAACTATAACCAAAACAAACAACATGTTACTTACAATTTATAGATAAGGCTGATAAGTCAGAGACAGTTCAGTCCTAATTAAATAGTTATGACACTGTTAAATAAAATTTAAGAATAGAACACCTGAAACACTATACCCCCTGACAGAAATCAATAAATGTCCACCTGACCTCGTACCTGTCAAAGGTTTATTACACCCCCTGCCCTCTTTCTATTATTTCTCCCGTTTTTCTCTTCCGTTTTATATAAGGGATCTATACATAGACCCGTCCAGGGTGTACCCCGCCCCTCGCACAGTGAGTGCTGGACATGGACCCTGTGACCCAAAATGGAAGAAGCGGGTAAAAGATAATGGATGGATGAAACTATACATAATAATAAGTGATCCTCATTTATAGAATAAGCATTTAGAAAGAACTCTTAGCAAAGGGAAGGCTGATATAGAGCCTACTGCAGCAGCTTTTCACTGTACTCACTCTGTTCAGAAGGATATTCACGTGTAGGAAGGTAAACAGAGGGCCTCCGATTCTGTACAACAAAATAAATAGAGGTTAGAAACTGAAGCCGAGTCTTCTTTTACGCAAGATTTAAATACAGACAAGGTATGACATTCTGGCCATTTAAAAAAAAAGTAACTCATGTACATCACAGAGTATTTTACGTGACAATATGAAGGTAAAGTGCTCATTTTCGACTCAATTTTAGGTTTATGCACATTAAACATGAAAAAAGATAAGGCAAATGCATGTAAAGTGCGTTTTAAAGGGTCTCAAATAAAATATGTCGTATAGAATCCTGCAGTCTGAAACTCAAGGACAGAATCAAACATTTTCTGCTGTGATTCTTTGCAGCTGTCTTCAGTTGTTGTTTGAAGATCTTTATATTCGTTTTTGTTTTCAACAAAGGAGATGGAGCGCAATCAATTTATTGATCAGTCCATCCCAGGATATTTTAATTCTTTCTTTTAAATCGACCGTGTTTCCTTTACATCAAATGGGTTACTGGCAGACTAATCTGTGAAGAGCCGCTGACAGTACGTCCCAGGGTATCGTCATATTGTTTTGGTTTCCTGTTACATACCAAAGAACAAAATGCATGTGATCTCATGATGTCTTAAAAGCAATGATACATGACCTTATGGGCTTCTATATATATATATATATATATATATATATATAAATATAAGTGGTTCCAAGATTTCTCCAAATGTTTTTCTTATAATTCCTCTTTTACAATTTCCTTTTTTCTTTTAATGCCTAAAAACTTGCGCAAATTCCAAATGGCTGTGGCATTTTAAAAACTGAAGGTTTGTGAATAGTTTGCAGTTTGAAGTGAATTTCCTGTATTTCTTTATGGAGTCTTGTCTTCACAGATACTATTAAATATACCATGTTTAACACAACTGGATGTTGTAAAAAAAAAACAATTGTCACTCAAAAGGTCCTACAATCACTAACCCCTGCTATTATGCACAAATGCCCAAGTAGGCAATACTTTCTTTTTCATATTGTAATAAATATTACTAAAAGGTATTCAATGCAGTGTCAAAACTCATACAGTAAGAAACAAAGTCTTGGCAATTTTTTCTTGTATGTAGGGCTGAGTACCGAACCGAGGTTCTTTTATGGCACCGACCGAACTTCACCGGTCGGTGTATGTATTGAAACGTCACTCTTCTTTCGGTGTCAAGTTTCGGTATTGGCTGTAATGTGTCACATGGTTTCGGCATGCAGGCAGGCAAAACACCAGACATATGACAAACAGACAACACCCAGATTACATCCAGAGCTGTATAGCGCTGCTGTACCTAATCTATGTATAACTATGTCTATGGTGCTGGTGACGCCCACAGACGGGTTCACGTGTGCAGCGCGTGTTGTCGAATGGCTTAGACAACACGCGCTGCAGAAAGTTGCTCCGTGTTTTTCTGCGAGGAGAGAAGAGTTCATTAGCCTCCTCCCTCCTCCTCCTCTCACCATTAAAGTCAGCCCGTGAGTAGAGCCTGATTCATTATCTCCACGACCGGACTCTTCATCAAAGAACACAGAGGACGTCTCTGTGAGTTTCAGCTGGTGAGTTACGTTTGTTAGCGTAACTGCAGCTTAACACGTACATCGCGGTGAAATAAACTATGATCCATGTAACGCTAACTTTAACATATTAGTGTGTAAATTTATTTTATCTACGTAGCTAGCTAAACTCAGAAGCTAACTAAAGATTGACAGTAACATAAATGTTAGCTTGTAAAACTGCTCATCCATCCAGTCAGCTGCTTAAACAGTTCACTGTTTATGTTAATGCTCTCCTCACAGGAGGTTCTGACCCAGATGTGAGGACAAAAGAAAAGCGAGGTGGAGGCCACAGGACAGTCAGACTTTGCTGTTAAAAATTTGCTGCCTTTTTCTACAGTGGAGCTGCATGTTGGAGGTAAATTAAACTTTAAAGGATTTTGTTGACCAGTTAAACCTTTATCTCTCAGCCTAGATAATGTTTTTTGAGCAATAATAACACAACCATGTTATTGTTGATGTTTTGTTCTCATGTCAATTAGGGAGATGATCAGAGCCCTAAACCCCAGAGAACCACAGAGAAGATCCAGGCAGAGACACAGAGGTGCAGAAGTCTGCATCAACCCTACCTCATTGAATCCAGTGACCTGCTGGTGGGACGTGAGGGACAATATCTCAAACTGACAACCAGGTATCTATGTGTGCAACAATCATCATCTACAGCCTCAGAGTGAACATGTTCTACTGCTGGAGACACCATCAGCCAGGAGCGGGCTTGTTTGTGTCCAGAGAAAACAGACATGTTGATGTTTCTGAAGAAAAGCTGTTCAGTGAAAAGGTCCTCAGTGTGTAGCAGTGAGCATTAGACACGGACGTGCCACTGGTTTATAACTGGTCTTTTGACCTGGAAATTATTTGTTTGTTTTTATGTAAGAAAACTGCTTGGAATAGAAAAATACCAAAGTTAAAAAATAAAACTCACAATTTGTACTGTAATGTGTAACGTAATTGTATTCTTGTTATAATTAATAGTAATTACAGAATTGGTACCGAAAAAAGAACCATCCAGGAACTGACACCAAAGTGAAGGTACCGACACTGGTACTGATTTTTTTAGAAAGGTACCCAGCCCTACTTGTATCAATAGCTAATGTTTTCTTAAATTAAAAACTTGTAAACAGAAAAGACTGTAAGCAGCTTCCAACTCTCATGTGTGTGTTTGTTTACCTACAAAAACATCCAGTTACAGAAAATAGGTCAACAGCGTTGACATGTGGGAACAAATAGTTGGAAAATTTAGACAAATTTTATTCGTTTTGAACCCAAATGGTTTCACCTCTAGCTCTAAACTTGTTCAAATATAAAATAAAAGTTCACATGTAGTCATGGGACAAAGGTCCAAGTCAACTTTTACACCTCAAGGAGAAAAGCAAAAGTACAACACCAATAATTTACGTCAGTATCTCTACAACAGTTAAAAGCTGAAAACAAAAACAGAGTAAGAAATATTCACTACACAAATGCAAAATGTTTATATGCTACTTACAGATGCTTTACAAACCGAGTCTGCATGGAACCTGCTGAAGTTGCTCTTATTGTAAACTGGAAGTCCTTTCAAGAAATCAGCCTGAGAAAAGAAAATGAAAGAAGACATCAGCATCTAATCTGCCTTTTTTTTTGGATTACTAGGAATCCAAATCCCAAAACACACCTGGTCTTCTGATCTGTTCTTAGCAAACTGACTAGATATTATTTATGTAAATCCAAGGAGTCTATTAGGTGACATCTAATACAGATGTCAAAGCTGGGCGTCTCCTCAATTTAGCGCCCCAGAAACGGAAAAAAGCCCAACTGTAATTACTAAAACATCCTCTGTAACCTGGCAGCAGAGTGTGTGAAAGCATACAGCAAGTGTTTTGAAATATCCGGACAGAACTGGACATTTGTGGCCACAAATCGATGCCGGTTCGGCCTGAACAGGAGCAGGTGTGGCGAGCAGCATGCTAACGATTAGCTCCAGTTCTCTAGATCTATATCCCCACGTAACTTCTGATGTTCAGCTGAAAATCATGCCACAGAAAAGACGGGTGAGACGTACCTTCTCCATTATGATGGCAGAAATTTCAAACGTCGACTCGACTGCTTTTCTTGATGTGCTGCTCGTGATGGCCGCGATAGCTTTCAAGCTAGTTCACGGAGGCAGCTAAACTTACAAATCTTCCTTGGCAAAGAAAACGGCGACTTTTACACCCAAGCTTCTGTTTCCATTATACATTAAAGTCGATAATAAAAATTACCCTACGCTGTCTTATTAACAATCATTCCCAGTTGTCTTTCCATGAGCTCGTAAAGCTATTTACATACGACTTCTTCGGTTAGCATGATGACTGGATGGCAGATAGACGTTTATTTGGCCACGCCCCAAAGGCAACCATTGGCTTAGGCTTGCACCCACGTGATGACATATTGACTAGACAGCCAATCATAAATCAGAACACCATTTGGCCCCTCTTGCCCACATGATGGCTTCACTAAAAAAACAGTATTCATAGTCAAATGCTGGAAGCAATAAGAAATACTGTAAATGAATTTTGCACAATTTTTATTTCAAAAGTGCTTAATATTCTTGTTCCAGATTATACTGCAGCTATTAGACGCGTCACAGGGGAGGACGAGGCGGCCTAAGAGGGAGGTGGCCTGCCTGGTGTCATAGTGTGAGGACAACCTCACTGACCACAAATAAAACAAAGAAGTTAATGATGGACATGAGGAAGGAGACCAGCTGCATCACTGTTTGATACGACGGTACTACTGAATTGGACTGCAAACACCTGCAGAGAATGGTGAAGACTGATGAGAAAATCACTCCACTGCCCTCTCTGCAGGACATCTACCTCTGCAGAGTCCATAGGAAGGCTGCCTTCATCCTCAAAGACCTCCACCTGTTGGACACCTCTACCCTCAGACTGAAGGTACAGAAATATGAAATGCAAGCCTTCCAGTTCAAAAACACCTTTTTTCCAGGTCCCATCAGACTAAACATCTGAGTATAAAACATGTTAAAAGTTACCTGATTGCACCTTTTTGCTTTGTTTTATAAAATTGTCTTGCATATATTTTGCACATTTTATTTTGTCTGTACTTTTTTCTTTCACCTGTTTGTAAATGTTTCTGAACAGCTGATTGGAGTTCTCTGAAGTCTTCTTTTTGCCATTTGTTATGGACAGCAAAGTAAGCTGGACATGTTTCGACTTGTGCACATGACAAAAAACCACTTGAGTCCTTCTTGTGTTAAAAGCCAGCAGTGCAGAAGCTACAGCAAAGGAAGCATGAAGATGAACCAGCCAAGAACAAAACAATATTTGAACTGGTTTAATTAGATTAATTTTAATAATAGATTACTAATTATTAAATAATTAATTATTTTAATAATAAAAATAGATCATTTTACTTGAAAGGCCAATTATTATTATTTTTATAATTGTGGTAATATTTAGATTAGATATGTAAAATCTCTGGTCATGTCACTTATTTTTATTTTATGCGAACTTTGTGCATGAGAGCAGTGCGCGTTTATAACTGAAGAAAGTGGACAAGTGGAGGACACAAAAAGACGTGTGAGACATAGAAGATATATCTGAAAGTCATGAAACGGAGGGGAGAAATCCATCCATCCATTATTTTTTACCTGCTTCTTCCATTTTGGGTTGCCGGTGCCCATGTCCAGCAATCACTGTGCGAGGGGCGGGGTACACCCTGGACGGGTCGCAAGTCCATCACAAGGGGAAAATGCAAATTTAGCTTTTAGAATAATCTAAATAAATAAAAAAATGTATTTTGGGGCAAGCAGCTGGTGCCCAAAGTTAATGTTTAAATAGTTTCTTACAAAATTGTTTAAGTATAAACAAAACTGATGCATTTTTTTGTTGTAAAGAAGCTTTTTTAATGTTTGACTGCTTTATTTATAGATCAGAGTTATGCTGCTTTGCAAACAAGAAAGAAAAAAAACTTCTTCTAAACGTGATCAGGTGACTGGACAGTGTGAGGACACTTGTTTGCTGGGGCCTGTGTTTGTGTGTTTCTGATTTTGTGCACATCCTGATGGGTGTGACAGATCATTAGTGGATCTGGAAACACCAGTCCTGTCAGCATTTAACCTTCTGATAACAGCTGCCTGTGGGGTTGCTTCTGTTTGAGTCCTGCGGGCCCTTGAGCACTTTTTGTAGTTTTACTCACAGTATCCCTGCTCTCATCCATCAACAGACACCCTGGTTCTCTTTTCATATTGTTTTAGTTTATTAATTATGTAAATACTGACCATGATTGCTTTAAAACATCACAAAAAAGTGACTCCCAGGTGGAATTGCTTTTGCACAACTGTGCTCTGAACGCTTGTTTTTAACTTCTATTTCTTACGGTGGCCCTAAGGTGTAAATGAACAACATTTGAAAAAAACGGAATTATATTTGAAAAAACAGAACAAAAAGAACAAAATCACAACAACATTTGAAAAAATGGAATTACATTTGAATGAACAGAAGTACATTTGAAAAAATGGAATTACATTAAGCCAAAGCGGAAGTGGCCAAAGCAGAAGTGGCTAAAGTGGAAGTGGCCGAAGCGGAAGTGGCCGGAATCACATTAGAAAAAACGGAATTACATCTGAAAAAAAAAAAAAAAACGGAATCACAAACAGAATGGGAGGCAGATCTTTCAGTTATCAGGCTCCTCTCTTGTGGAACCAACTTCCAATCTCTGTCCATGAGGCTGACATATTATCCAGTTTTAAAACTAGTTTAAGACTTTCCTTTTTGCTAAATCCTATAGTTAGGGTCAGCTTGGGTTTTCTGAGCTGTCCCTTAGTTATGCTGCTATAGGCTTAAACTGCTGGAGGACACACTGACCACACTTTTCACTCTACTACTGTCTTTACTTACTCTGCTCAACCTGTTTTGTATTTGCAATTATTTTCTCTATCCTTAACATGTGTTTTTTTGTCTTTCAGGTACACCTGGACCTATATCTGGACCTACCATTTTGTGTTAGTCTGTCTCTCCTTTCTGTCCTCTCAGACCCAGCAGGTCAAAGCAGACTTGGCTGGCCTTTCGGTTCCCCTGGGCTGTAGGACCGCCTGAATGTCAGGCAGAACTCCTCCCAGCAGTCTGCTGAGCTCCTCGTTGCTGCGGACAGACAACTGTAGGTGTTGAGGGACGATCCTGTCCTTCCACTGTCATGAGCCATGTTTCCTGCTAGTTCCAGGATCTCAGTGGTCAGGCACTCGAGGACAGCTGGCAGGTAGATGAGAATGCGTCCACAGAACATCCTTTTCAACTCATTTGAGATTTGGGGCTGTAGTTGAGATATTATTTGAGCTTTTGAGATGTTAATCAGCTGCTGTTGGTTGTAGAAAACTGCCTTGTTGCCATGGTTACGCATCATAACAAATGTCCTAAACCAAAAAGGTTTCAGTAAAAATCCTTCCAGTTGCACAGCATCTGATACCAGAGGAAACAATCATCCAAAAAATGTGATTTACATCCAGAAAAAGAGGAATTAAAGTTTCCAAAAGCAAAATCTCAGAATGAAAGTAACAGAGCTGCTCCAACATGCAGCCACCTGGAGCGGCGCAATTCTAGAACGACATTGGAAAAAACGGAATTACATTTGGAAAAAAAACAACGGATTCACAAACAGAATGGGAGGCAGATCTTTCAGTTATCAGGCTCCTCTTGTGGAACCAACTTCCAATCTCTGTCTGCGAGGCTGACACATTATCCAGTTTTAAAACTAGTTTAAGACTTTCCTTTTTGCTAAATCCTATAGTTAGGGTCGGCTTGGGTTTCCTGAGCTCTCCATGCATGCGTGGGTTTTCTCCGGGTACTCTGGTTTCCTCCCACTGACCAAAAACATGCATGTTAGACTGATTGGTAACTCCAATTGGCCCTAGGTGTGAGTGCGAGAGTGAATAATTGTTTGTCTCCTTTATGGCCCTGTGATGGACTTGTGACATGTCCAGGGTGTGCCCCACCTCTCGCACAGTGATTGCTGGACATGGGCACCGGTGACCCCCGTGACCCAAAATGGAAGAAGCGGGTAAAAGATAATGGATGGATGTTCGTTTACACCTTAGGGCCACCATAATTTCTCTTTGCAGATGCATTTATTAAAGAACGAACTACAAAGTATTTTAGCCCATATGTGTGTCTCCTCTCCCAGCAGCAGGGGGCAGCCCTGCACTGACAGGAGGCTGCAGGAGGTTCAGTCACATCAACACAGATGAAATAAAATCACTCAGCCAAAGAGTTCCAGAGGGTCACCAGGGCCAAATGAAAGGACCGGAGCTCCGCTCAGATATCTAGATCTACCTGTGGCCTTCAGAAACACCTGCTGGTGCAGGCAGGCCGCCACACGGTGGCGCCTGAAAGGACAACAGAATCCAGATAAATTAGATTATTGGATTGACTGCTGCAGATTATAGCTCTTCTTCAATGCTTCGTAAGAAAACAGCACTGATTTCATATAAGGAGGTTTTGAACGATTTAGCCTAGATAAAGGTAAGCGTTCAACTGTTATTTTCTTTGACTGGAAATTTGTTTTATTTATTTTGGTTTAGATAATTTAAGGATTATTGCAAGACACAAGAAGGTTGCTACACCTCGCAGAGCGGTGTTCACGGAGACCAATAGATTATTTTATATTTTGTGTAAAATTATTATTTCAAACTTTATTTTATTTACATTTTATCCTAAGCTGAATGTGTAAAGCATTCAGTGATTATTATCTGTGATAAAGACCAACCATTAGGCTGCCTGTTTAAGTGATTAAATGTGACCTGCTGAAACAAACAAACAAACAAACAAAACACTGGCGCTGACTTTAAAATGCTACATTTTAATGGGAAGAACAGATATTTTGCGTAAAATGGTGTCCGGTTATCTGCTGTGCTCTTACTTCAGGTGAATGCAAAATAAATGTAAAGTTTGAACTATTTTAAGTTAAACCAAAATGACACAAATGGCACATTTTGTACAGAAACAAACACAATTACATTCTAAAAGTTTGTTTTTTTGTTTGAATCCTCAACAATTTAAAGCTTTTCACATTTTCAACATGAAGTAAAACACAAAATGTAGTTTATTCATGTAATTTGTTGCACAAATAATTGAAAGCACTGTTTATTATAAATATATATATATATGTATATAATGTAATGACTAAATGGACTGTTTGAAAATGACTTTTCACGCCAGGATTTATATCAGAAATGAGCTTGTTCAGATTGTTTTGATGTCTCACCGCGGTGTCTGTGTTGTGTAATGAGATGCTGCAGAGAAACAATGGGAAAAAAGGCAAGGATCACAGCTGTGTTCATGTTCTGTAATTTAATTTAAACATCTGGAAGATAAAACTATGCTGCTTGTATTTTTTGATGAAAATTCTTATGCTACTGTGTTATGTTGGAAAGAAATAGCTCCTCTTCCTCACTCACAAATTAAGAGTACTGGCTTTCAATAAGAGGCTGAAAAAGAGAAAAGATAAAAACAAAGTCTGCAACCAATAGACTTTTCCAGGTGTAATAAACTTTGCAAAATTCTAATTAATTAAAGCTTCCCTGGAATAATGCATTTCACCTTTTAGAGCATAATTTTAAACAATTTCTCTTATTTTGAGTCCAACTAGTCCAATTTGTAACGGACATTTTGCAAAAGTGTTCAGGGTTTGTGCTGTGAATGACTCTCAGCTACAACCACACTAAGTTTTAGCTCAATATTTGTAAAATTAACTGAGTTATATTCATTTTTGTCTTAGTGGCTATTTTTTTAATTGATTTGACTCCAGAAGTTAATCGGTTGAAAATTGACGTCTTATGATTACTTTCCGAGATTTACAGTCATATTATTATTTATTTTTATTTTTTTTGATATTTTGCTAACAGACAGATGGGGTTGATGCCAACAGGTAATGGCAATGTTTTAAACAAACAAACATACAGTATTGTGAAATACTGGAGTATGGGGAGTGATGGTGCAGAGGAGAAGGTGGGCCTGTGATCGGAAGATCGCTGGTTCAACTCCAGGTACCGACAACATCAAAATGTGGGTGGGATAGATGAAACACCCACACCTGCCTCCACCCTCATTTGCCCCACCCTGGGCCCTTGAGCAAGGCCATTAACCCCCACAATCTGCTTCCCTGGGCGCCCTAGGTAGCAGCTCTGTGCTCCACACAGAGGGCTGTGGTAGCTCGGTGGTCTGTGGTTGCATCAGGAAGGACATCCGGCGTAAAAATAATTGCCAAGTCTTCATGCAACATAGTTCACTGTGGTGTCCCCTGAAGAAAGGAGCAGCCGAAAGAAGAAGAAAGAAGACAGTGTGAAATATGTGGCGCTCGAAGCATTTGTTAGGGACAATGCTTAGCCACTACCACACCAAATGGTAGCCCAGCATTTGTAAACATGGCTCGGTTGTAGACATTAATATGTTTGTTAGAGTTGCTTAGCTGTGGCAGCCATCTTGAATAGGGTTGACTGCAAATGGTAATGAGTTGTAAATCTGCAGTGACTACTTTCCTATAGTCTCATTAAAAAATATATTGTTTGACTCATGAGACATTTAACTAAATGTAGAGACAAACAATTACACAAACAGGCAAAAACTAGGGATGCACGCTATTGGATTTTTGGTCAATAGCCAATATGCCAATATGTTAAAACTTATTTGGCCGATAATCGATACCAATACCAATTTTTTTTTTCCCTAGACCTACTTACAGGGCAGCCGACTCAGGACCCGAAAGTCCCAGGCACGACCCCCAGTCATTGCACATCTTGTGGTGTCTCTGAGCAGCACGCCGTATCCCCAAATGCTCTCCGGGTGCTTTCAATAACTGCCCATCACACCACCCAGTGGCGGATGGGTCAAATGCAGAGAAACAATTTTGCCATTGTATGGGAACATACATGTACAGTGATGATACATAACACATTACAGATAATACATACTGCAGCTTTCTCTGCTGTGGAATTAAAATACTAGATTATTCCGCATGGTCTTTGTCTTTGTTTGGCCTGCTACCAAATGCAGATGCTGAAAAGGGGGACTGATAATAATGTAACACTTCAACTTGTATTATGTTTAATGTCAAATTTATTCATGACACATACTCTATCTAACACGATGACGACACTCGAACAGTGCAAATTTGTAATTTTTCACAAATCTAAACTCAACCTGTTCACAAGTGACAAGTGAAAAGCACATAAGTAGTAGTGCATTAATACTTGATAGTTTATTAAATTACAAATATACTTAAAACAGAAGCCTTTTATATCGGTGAGTTATTTTGATGGAATGGCTGATATTTAACTTTATCGCTAATATCGGCCGATACCGATACCATGCTGATAATATCGTACATCCCTAGCATTTTATGGAGTGGCCTGTATCCATTAGTTTGTTATCATGGAGTCTAATGATGTAATACAGATGTGTTTGAAGAAAATGTGACCAGTCACAGAAAACGATTCCTGGTTTGCAATACAAGTGACTGCAGAACAAACATGCAGTTAAAACCATCACCCCAGCCTCCAGGTGTCAAACAAAATGCAATAAAAATGACACGAGTTGGACCAGCAACATTATTTCTGCTTATTGTCACAATATAAAGATATTTTTGAAACATATATTTTTGTTGGATATTGTGAATCAGACAATACAAGCAGTCTCCTATTTGAAAAGCTGAAGGCTGTCAGCACAGGACTCTAATAACCAGGAAGAAAGAATTGTGTATAACTCCTCTCTCACACTGCGGCTGATAAAACGTAGCCTCTTGATGTCACCCTGCTCTTAGAGGGGAACGAGTCACCCTTACAGCCTCCGGTCAGCACACAGGGTACCACACAACAACACTGCGGAGACAGAGGATGTGCAGCTGTAAGCAGAAAGAGCATGAAAGCAAAGCAGGACTGCTGATGGTTTACATTGTGTCCCAGTGAAAGCAGCAACCGATGAGAAAATGATGCACCATCTCCTGCAGAGGATACAACCTGCAGCACAATGTCACTGGTTTTCATCAAGACAGCAAATAGACAGATTTGTTGAGTGGACTTAGAGTTTAATCCCCTCCTCAAGTGGGGAGGAGGGGAGCAACAGGAAGGTAAGATAATGCTGCCAGCAGAGACTTTCAGACCAAACCTGACTGCTGTAGTAAACAACCAAAGCTTTATTTCAGCTCCATGTGTCTGAACAACTACACTGGTTTAGTAGTGTTATTACTTAACCAGTGCTTCTTCTCCAGGTGTTTTCTACATGAACTTTTATGTTTAGACATTACTTTTTTAATTAATATGCTCAAATTATACTTTAAATCGCAGTGAATTTCTTGTTTCTTTGTCCTGTGGGGGTGCAGTGCTGTGGCCGGAGGGTTCACATGGCGGACAGCTTTAGAGCTATTATCGTTCATGGCTATTAATATCCCTGTGGTGAGGAATGATGCTCAGAAAATCACAAGGGTTTGAATTGTAAGCAGGTGCCAGGATGTAAAGAGCCTAACTTTCTAAACAGAATGATGTGACATTTTAAAAATCATCTCGATATAGAATAAAAGCTGCACATTTTTTTTAAGTATACTTCAGCAGAAACATGTCAGTGTTTTGTGGCTGATGGTTGTACAGTACTTTATAAAGATAATACATAAAATACTTTTTTAATATAAGCCTCCACAGTAAACATATTGAGTTATTATGCACACACGATGCAAGTCAAGCCTAGAAACTGAAGCACAACTTTACACTTTCTGAAACTGACATGATCAGTATTTTACACAGCTAAAAATATTCAGACGAGAGTTGTTGGGTTTAACTGTGGCAGGATGTCTGATAATTATGAGCCAGCTTGCAGAACGTGTTTTTCAAAGTTGGGGTCGGAACCCATTGTGTGGAGTAAAACGTCAGCTTTGAGGTCTTGAGATGATCTGCTGAAATGTAATTAACTTTAAAAAAATGACTGTAAACTGTTCCAAAAGATTAAAAGTAGAGTTATGTAAGGGTTTAATACTATATCGCTTGATGTTTGTTTTAAAATTATGGTAATATTATTTGTTTAATTGGCTTGAATACCAAAAAACACAAAGTCATTTTGTGGGTCATATGTTGAAAAGTCTGTATCTGATTTCTGACTTAGCTTCAACCGGGAATTAGAAATTTGCTGTTTCAGCAGACTGAGCTTTCATTTTATTCATCCACGTCCTTTACTACGTCTTTCAGCATCTTTCTCGTTCCACAGTTTTTGTGCTATTTCAACAAATCATGTATCAAAATTTTCAGCTCTTTCAGGACAAACCTGCTATGACTGTTGGTATTGGTGCAACTTTAGCTTTTTGAAATAGCCTTTCATGCCACTTTTTTCCTCATAGAAAATGAATTGAGCTCATTTTAAAGCTTCAAATCTTTATATGTGTTTACAGCCTTTTACTGCTGTTCTGGTTCAGCTTCTTTCAGCTTCTTTGTGCAAATTTACACTGTTTTCCATCTACTTTCAGCTAATTTCAGCTGCTTTTTCAGCTGTTTTGTGATCCTTCTAGATTTCAAAGTTCATGCTCAATCATCCAGGTACAACATCTGATAATGGTCAGTCAGGTCGTCTGGACGGTTTCTTTTTTGTGGAAAGACGTTTCACCCTCTATCCATAGGACTTCATCAGTCTGAGGAGCCCCAATTAAACTGTTTTCCCCACTAAGCAGTACACCCCTTTAGTGGACCAACCAGTTTGCTGGTGAGAAGATGCTTTCTGGGGATGACCTGGACAGATGATCTGTCCAGATGACCTGACTGACCATTATTGGATACTTTTAGATTATTTCTGCTATCTACAACATTTTTGTGCTTCTTTGAACTTCTTCCTGTTAATTTAAGCTTATTAGGCTCCTTTCAGCTTATTTCTGCAAGTTTCTGCTTTTCCCGCTATTTCAGCTACTATTTAGCTGTTTATACTAGTTTTAGCCTTTTCTGCTAATTCCACATTTTTTGAACTTTTTTCAACTTTTTTCTTCCTTATCCAGCAAAAGCTCTCTCCACTTCTGTCTGATAATTTAAGCTTCCTTTTGCTTTTTTAGCTACTTTTCTGCTGTTTTTTTTGTGCTAATTTCAGCTCTTTTTAGCTAATTTTTGCTTTTTATGCTCATTTCTGCTTATATGAACCTAATTCAGCAAATATGTGTTCTGTCTGCTTTCTTCTAATAATTTAAGCTTGTTCTCTCTTTTTAGTATTTTTTTTTTTTTTAGCAAATTTCAGCTGTTTTCAGAGTCAATTCAAATCAGCCTTTATTTATACAGGTTAGTCTCACTGAACCTCGAGGACTCATTTACAAGAGAGACCTGTTTTAAACAAAGAACACAGATGACAACAGTAGACAATCCTAAAAATAAGCATATAAAATGAAAAGTAAATGGAAGGAATCATTAAAAAAAAACGAAACAAGAACAGCTACATTATAAAGCAATATAAAATACTAAAAAAAGGAACATGTCTTCATTGGTTTTTGCCGTGATGCATTTGTTTTTCATGTTAATTTCTGCTACTTTCAGCCTAATTAACTTCTTTATGCTAATTTCAGCTTATGTTTTCAGCTTTTTCTGCTCTTTCACATACCATTTAGCTCTTTTGATGCTAATTTTAGCTTTTTTAGCTAATTCCACAATTTTTTAGCTCATTGCAGCTCTTTCCACTTCCTTCTGGAAGGTTAAGCTTCATTTTGCCTTTTCAGCTACTTTTCAGCTTCTTTTGTTGTGTGTGCTAATTTCAGCTTTTTAAAAAACAAATTTCCTAATTTTTGTGTTAATTTCTGCTTATTTAAACCTAATTCAGCAAATGTGTTCTCGCTGCATTTTTCTGCTAATTTAGGCTTGTTCTTCCATTTCGGCTACATTTCAGAATGTTTTTTTTTTTTTAGATAGTTTCAGCTGTTTTTCAACAAGTTCTTCTGCAATAATGATTCACACTACATTTTCACAGTGATTTCTCTAGTTTTACACAGTTTTGATGATTCTTGTAGCACGGACTCTTATTAATGTCTGTGTACGCACACGGGAGGCTTGTTTGTTTGTGTTTTATTGTTGTTTACTAAACTAAATGTGTTTTATTGACCTGTGATTGTATTCCAGACTGGCAGCCATGCTGACCAGCTTTGTTGAAGGCCTCCTCTGCTGCCTCGCCTCCAAATCAACCAACACCGTGGTTCCTGTGGAGACCTCCGAACCTGCAGATGGCTACGAGTTTGTGGAGGTGAAACCGGGCCGGCTCCTGCGTGTTCGACACATCATCCCTGACCGTCCGGTGGTGGAGGAACCCTCACAGGGTCGCATCGTGAGCTGCAAGAGAAAAATCACAGTCTACCGCAGTGGACAGCTGTTCATCGAGAACTTGGGTGAGAGGGCGAGCGCAGAGCTGAAAACCTGCCAGAATGGAGACACAGAGCCCAACAGCACAGTGGAAGTGGAACTGACAGACAGTCGGAACTCCTCGCCGCCCCTCAGCATACCTGAGGCCCGGTCAGACTTGGTCACAGCTGGAAACAACATGGCGGCTCCTGAATCAGGAGCAGCAGCACCTGCTGCAGGACAGAACGAGCCGGCCCAACAGCCCCGCAAACGGAGGAGGAAACCCAAACGAACCGTGGTGATCGACTGCGAGAGGAGGATCTCCTCCTGCAGGGGGACACACTCAGACGTGGCTCTGTTCTTCATCCACGGGGTGGGGGGTTCGCTGGACATCTGGGGAAGCCAGCTGGACTTTTTCTCCAGACTTGGTTACGAGGTGATTGCCCCGGACTTGGCAGGGCACGGGGCCAGCTCAGCTCCACATATAGCTGCAGCGTATACGTTCTACGCCCTGGCTGAAGATATGAGACTAATGTTCAAGAGATACGCAAAGAAGAGAAATATTCTCATAGGACATTCGTACGGGTACGTTTAAGATTCAGACTTTTGGAATTAAAGCGATCATCAAACATTGTCCATCTGTTTCAGAATCTGTCATTGATGTAACCAGCTTCTTGTTCTGATTGGTCAGCGTGTCGTTCTGCACGTTCCTGGCCCACGAGTTTCCAGACCAGATCCACAAGATGGTGATGATCAACGGTGGTGGACCCACAGCTTTGGAGCCCAGCCTCTGCTCCATCTTCAACCTGCCCACCTGTGTGCTTCACTGCCTCTCCCCGCTGCTGGCCTGGAGCTTCCTCAAGTAAGAAATCAAACATTCAAACACTCAGTTTCTGAAGTCCATAAGCTTCCAGGCTGGATCAGTTCATCTCCAGGCTCCGTTTGTTCCTGTGCACCTCAGATGAATCTCTGTCTCTGCAGGGCTGGCTTCGCTCGGCAGGGCGCCAAGGAGAAGCAGCTGCTGAGGGAGAACAATGCCTTCAATGTGTCGTCGTTCGTGTTGCGTGCCATGATGAGCGGACAGTACTGGCCCGAGGGGGACGAGGTTTACCACGCTGAGCTCACGGTGCCCGTCCTGCTCGTTCACGGCATGCACGACAAGTTCGTCCCTGTTGAGGAGGATCAGCGGATGGCAGAGGTGAGGACTCCCAGTTCCAACAGAGGAAACAATCTGGTTACAGTTGGTAAAAAGCACCTGCTTTGAATGTTATCAACCATTAAATGGACGTTATTAGTTGTTATCGTCCTCAGGTTGCGTTTAGACCGTCCCTCCTGTCTCCTATTAGGTTTAAAGGTACGTTCTTATCGCTGATAATAGGGTCAGGGGGTTAAGTTTAGGGTCAGGTGTAAGGTTAGGTTTAGGAAAAGGGTTAAATAAAGCTAACAAACAAAAGCTTCCAGTTTTACACGCGGGCGAAGCTGCATATTATCAGCGATAAGAACATTCCTGTAAACCTACTAGGAGGTACAGGAGGGACAGTCTGAAGGGGCTGATAACTAATAACGGTCATTTAATGGGCTGATAACATTTGAAGCCGCTATAAAAAGAGTAAATGTAACTTTGTTTACTTTCATGAAGCATCTCTCTTGTCAGATTCTTCTCATGGCGTTCCTGAAGGTCTTGGAGGACGGCAGTCACATGGTCATGTTGGAGTGTCCCGAGGCCGTCAACACACTCCTGCACGAGTTCTTCCTCTGGGAACCGGCCGTCCTTCCACCACCCAAAAAAGAGCCCAAAACCCGTCCAGAAACAGCCAAAGCTCAGATCGAAAACAACCGGGTCACATCTGAGTCTACCAAGGTCCGGCCTGCATCTGCCAGACAAACGTAACCAAACCGAGTCAGATTAAAGATAACTGAAGGTTCAAGTTGATTCAGATCACAGGAAGTCACAGCTCGGGCACTTCCTGAACAGCCGAGTGGGTTTGAGCTGCAGAACCTGACGACGAGCCGAACAAGTCAGTCTACCTGAGCTGGTCTGATGGTCGTTTGAAGGTGGAAACACTCCGCCGAGTTCAGAAGCACTTAGTTACTAAATGTCACCGACAGAAACGGAAGAAAGGTGAGTTTTGAGCTCACAGGTGTCTCAAACACATCAGAGGCCGATGTGGTTGTTCACTGAGAGAACAAGAAAAAGGAACTCAGCCACGAAACGATGGAAAATCAGCCAAACAGTGAAGGAGATGATGTTTATCACGGGACTGGGACTAAAGTAGCTTATAAAGTCGAACATTTTTGTCATGAATCTGTGGCAGACTGCTTGGATGATGAGGTGTGTTTTGTAGCTGGACTTTTTTAATTTTTTTAAAATAAATCTCACTTTTTGTAAGTGTTGCGGTTTCAAGATAACAGACACGTAAGGAGAGTAAATGAAACAGTCCAGTTTGCACAGCGCAACAGAAACTTATAAAAAGAAAAGCTGTTTTTCTTGCAGCGACGTGGACACAAGTGTCACCTGGAGTTCAGCGGGACAAGATGAATGTTGTGACTCATCAAGCTGAAAAAGAAGAAATCTGATTAAGTGCTGCTCAGGACAGAAGTGAAAGTAAATCTGCTGCTTCCTTAAATGATGCTCAGTCAAGCGATCATTGCTAAATTTAGTTCAAGCTCATCGATGCCTCCAAACCTCGTCTAAAAACATTAAACTCATGTTAAAACCATGCAAAGGTTTGCTGATGCATCTGGAGAAATACCAGCACAGTTTAACTCAAACTGTTCCCAGGCTCAAGAAAGTGTAAAATTATCTAATTATTTTTATGGCATAAGTCATATACGTGTAGCATTTCAGGGAAACAGAAAATAAAACCATAATTTTAATAATTCAGCGATTTTAGCTTATTTTTGCATTAAAAAACTGGTGTAATTTAATTGTTGAGAGAAAACATTTAGGTTTTTATTCCAGTATAGTTTGTTTGCGCAATCATTTTTAATATATAAATATTAAATATATCTGTCCTGCAGTCCTGTTCAATTCTCTGCAGGTGTTCAAATTTTTGTAACTCGTGCAAACCTTTCCAGATTCTACGACCTTAAACTGATAAGCTGCTGATTGTGAAGACGATCAAAATTTTCAATTGTTCAGAATTTGATTTATTTTTTTTTGGTATATAACAATATATACTTTTTGTACTTTGTTTTTAGAGTTTCTTTTAAAATAAGTTAAGATAAAACATTCCCACAGGAAATTGTTGTGCCAGAGTTTCAATACAAAAGGACATACACAAGGAATCACACAAGATATAAAAAAACCCAGCGAATTTTAGAGTTTAAACAAAATTTAGCAAAAAATAATCAAATTATTTAAAAATGCAAGTTTAATCAGAAAAATCATGACTGATTCAACTTGTCCTGAACTGTTTTATTTGTTGTGTCTTACATTTCGTTTGCCTTCAACAGTCACAAACTGCCGATTTAAAACGATCATTCAAAGCAAATGGTTACATGTTGTAAATTTTATTTTTTAGCTTTGGTTTTTGTGTTTTTGATTTTACACACTTTTCGTGACAATATTAAATTGACAGTATTGAGCTGGTGTAAGTCTCCAGTGTGAGTTCACCCACAAATACAACAGCTGAGTGACAGCACATGAAATAATACTCTGTATAAGTACACCTCTTCCATAGTTTTATTTTGACTGAAGGTACAAGGCTGCAGGATAAACTCTGAACCAAATTTAAAATGTACATCAGATGTAAGTGAACAATAGCAGGAAGTGAGAATATAAACCAACTCAAACCCAATATTTATGCAGAATAAAATACAGAACAACGTATTTTATATTTAAATGATATATCTTTGGTGTTTCTTACAATACAATAAATCTAAGGTTCCCAGTTTGATGACAGCAGTTTTGGTAGACTTAACCAGTACACTATTTTTTATATATTTTCATGCTTCCTTCACAAATAATTTATAAGTTACAGTAGTTGACACCATACTTTTGGAAATAAACAGAAAATAGGCTATTTAATCAAATTCTACGCACCTTTTCACCAAAGCAACATGATAGCTTTACACTGTTTGTACATTCAAAATATATTTTTTTATAAAAAGCATTGCAGTGAAGCGTTTGTTCCCATTAGGTGCCTCAGACCCCCACAGTGACTGAGGGACCATTGCTGGTTTCCTCCAGTTGTGTGGACTCTGTGGGGGAGCAGGTCTCCTCTGGTCTGGTTTCTTTCTCACCCTGCGCCACCAGCGGGGTGCTCTCTGCCTCCACCTGCTGGTCGCTGCTGGTAGTGCAGGCTGGCTGCTCGGCTGCTTCGGTTTCATTCACAATGTGAACGCAGTCTGCTGCAGCAGCCTTCACCTCCCCGTTCTGCACAGGGAAGGCGCCCCCCAGAGCGCTGTACAAGAACTGATACTGCTCCTGAGAGACAATGAACAGGGAACAGAAGACATCAGGATGCTGCTCAGGCTTTTAGGGCATTAAACATTCACTGGTGCTCACATTTGTATAATTTAAATTTAAAATGGACACAGATACAATTGCCCAGTGATATTTTGTGCAAAAGTGTGACTGTTGAAATTGATGAGGAAGCTGAAACTGAGTTGTTAAGGCTCCAAGAAGCAAAATCAGGGCTTAATTTGAGTAACTCTTATTTTGACAGGGCGTGTTTCAGTAACTATTTGCTTGGCTCTGGTAACTCTCAGGCTTACTAATAGTAAAGTTATGAGCAAATATTACTGCCTTGAACAAATAAAACTAATAGTGGATATGTAAACTGAAAATAATGACATAAACACTCATTTTAAACACAACAGCCACTTATGACTTCTTAATATCACATAATGTCTCTTCAAGTAGCATTTCCACCTCTACCCTTAAAACAATCTCACCCCCACTGAAAGAGTAGTGGGGGTGAGTGCCGAGCGAACCAGGCAGCCGTACGCGGGCAGGAGCCCACAGGCAGCAACAATGAACAGACGGAGGAGGCGCCTGGAGGTTTCATATGTGGAGTCGAACAACAGGACAGTGAATTCATCGAAGAGTCGGCTCAGAACTGTCAAGTAATGGGGAGTGGGGGTGGAGGATGTTTGACAGAAGCGGAGTGTTTACAAATGTAGGTAAACGTAGATGTTTAACATCCCATTAAAATACACCAAAATGCAGGAAATTACATCTACTTTAATAAAAAAAAAATCTGGGGGAGGACCCCCCCAGCCGACGTGCCCACTATTTGTGTTCCAGCATCGATCAGTTTACAAATTAAGCCCTGAGAAAAATACTAGCTAAAATCTAAAAGGAGTAAACCACCCTCATTCGCCCCGCTCTGGGCCCATGAGCAAGGCCCTTAACCCCCACCATGTGCTCCCTAAACAGGTCTCTCTTGAAAATAAGTTCTCGTGGCTCAATGAGACTACCTGGATAAATAAAGCTAAATAAAAAATAAAATAAAATAAAAAGAGTAAAACAGTAGCTAGAAGCTAAGTGTAGCTAAATGTTGGCTAAAAGCTAAAATTAGCAAAAAGTTAACTAAAAGTAGTAATAAACTGGCTAAGAGTTAATGAAGCAAAATATTAACTAAAGACTAAAACTTGCAAAAGGCTAGATAAAAGTAGCAATAGGCTTGAAGCTAAAAGTAGCAAATGACAAGCCAAAAGGTAAACGCTGCAAAAGGTTAGCCTTGCAGCAGCAAAAGGCAACCTAAAAGCTAAAATTGCAAAAGGTCAGCTAAAAGTAGCAAAAGGCTTGCTTAAAGTTAAAAGTAGCAAAATTAAAAGCTAAAATTAGTAAAAGGTTAGCTAAAATAGTAATTGGCTGACTAAAAGTTAAAGTAGCAAAGAGGTAACTAAAGGTCAAAACTAGAAAAAGTTTAAGTATAAAGTCTAATTAGAAGCTAAAAATGTAAAAGGCTGGCTAAAAACTCCAAGAAAGCAAAAGACCAGCTACAAATTCAAAGTAGCTAAAACGCTAGTAAGAAGCTAAAAATTGTAAAATGACAGCTAAAAGCTAAATAGCATAAGACATATCAATATACTGAAACAGATTTTAAAGGGAACAACATTCTTGAAAGGAATTGAACAGACCCTACTGTATTTTTAGGAAGGATTTTTAAATAAAGTTCAATATTTTGATAATGATAGTGCCCCCTCTCCCGAGTAAGCTAACATGTCAAAGGCTGCAATAGCACAAAAGTAAGCAGAAGGAGTTAGATTGCAAAGATTGTATGTAAAAGTAAAGAAAACAGGAAAACTATTGTGTGAATGAATAAATTATTATTATTTGTGTTTGCTGTAAAAACCTGCAAAAAACCTGCTTCAAACACTAAAGAATAACGTTTAGTTCGGGAAAATCACAAAAACTTCCCCAGATATTTTCATCTTCAACTGGAAAGTTTTCAGAGGTATGACGTCACAGAGTAGAAAAACATGGGGCTGAGTTGTTTTTACAGTAACTGGATAAAAGTGTCCTTCATGTGAAGTCCTGATCTTTTAGTACCAACAAATATAAAATGTAAACAAATGCAGGAAGGTATAAGATAAAATGTTTTCCTGTGGTTTTTGCAGTTACAAGTTGCTTTGGCAGGTGTCACTTCCTCTTTCTTACCAGGCTGGAGAACATCCCGTTTCTGTCTTTACGTAGCGTTTTGACCACTTGGAAAACGTCCACCAGTTTCTCGGTCTCAGCGCTGTCCAGCAGGTTCCACAGAGCACAGAAAACCCCTGAGCGGGCCGAGCCGTCACTGAGGAGAGACACAGTCATTACAACCAGGACACAGTCAGTTCTCTCTTTTATTATCTGATACTGATACAGCAACCCCCATTTATTTTTAATATTTTCTGTCAAACTTAAAGATAGTTGAAGATATAAAGATAAAGAATAGCAGAACTGCATATATATATATAAGAAACCACATTTTGTAATTCTTTTAATAAACGCATTAGTTCTGTATGAATGCAAGCTGCTTCTTTAACGTCTCATCCCTGGGGCGGGGGGCGGGGGGGGTCCTTACTTGCAGTGGACCACAATGGGCATGCCTTTCTGTGATTGGCCGTCACAGTTGCGCCTAATGTCTTTCATCATGTCCATGAGTTCCTGAGGTTTCTCCGGCAGGCCCGTGTCCTCCCATTTCAGGAACTGGAACTGTTTCACCAGACGACTGTCCTTTCTCTGGGGAGAGACGTGATATTGGCTTCAGACGAGTCTTATTAGACTCACGACTGGAACGTGTGACGAGCTGATTATTTTACCTTGACGTGACGGAGCTGCATCTTGCGGGAGATGAAAATCGGAGAGGTTTCCGTACTCGTCACTTCCACCTCAAAGTCCCCAAAGGTCTCCTTGTCTTTACTCCAGTACACAGGTTCACTGTCCTGTCAGCAACAGGAGACACAAGAAAACAAACTTTAAATGTCCCCAAAGTATTTACAAGCATGCAGTAGTAGAAGTGCATGTCATTTAGTACCTCTTTGTTCTCAGAAAGCATGACTATAGTTGATGCTTTCTTCTGGTAAACCATCGACCAGAAATCAGCAAAGGTGTTCGGCAGTGGATTCTGAGCTGCGATCAGGCTGCATAGCTCCCAGTAACCCTGTGTGGAAGAAAAACAACCATTTATCTATTGCTATATCAAGCACAAACAAATAAAAACTCACATATTTAAAGTTATGATAAGCGTTTTTATCAAAATGATATATAACCAGAATCCTCCTAAGAATTTATCAGAAACACTCTTTTTAACTTTGGATAAATACTTGCAAAAAAGCTTAAAGAATGAGGGGAGTATATGGGGTGCCGTTTGTAAAGTTACACAATCAAAAATTAACAGCAATATTTTGGGTTATTTAGCCTTTTATAAAAAAAAATAATAAAAAAAAAGTTTTTTTTTCAAAGTCATATTTTCACCACATTATTCATACATTTATTTATAAATGTCATAGTTCCAAGCTAAATATTTATTTTACAAGGTAAATTTTTAGTTTACCAAGTAAACCAAGTTAAATATGTAGGTCTGAGCAAAATATTTAGTTAGCAAATTAAATGTTTATTTGGAAATTAAACGTTTAGCTTGGAAAATAAATACTTAGGTCCGAGCTAAATATTTAATTTGCTTATTAAATATTTAGTTTAGGAATTAAATGTTTAGCTTAGAAATTAAATGTTTAGTTTTGAAAATAAATATTTAGCTTGGAAATCAAATACTTAATTTACACCTAACTTGCAAGCTAAATATTTAGTTTGTAAATTAAACATTTAGCTTGAACATAATCATATAGTTTGTAAATGAAATATTTAGCGTGGAGCTAAATATTTAGCTTGCAAGTTAAATATTTAACATATTTAACTTGCAAGTTATGTATTTAGTTTGTAAACTAAATATTTAGCTTGTAAATTAAATATTTAGTTTGGAACTATGACATTTATAAATGTATAAATAACATGGTGAAAATATGACTTTGAAAAATAAAACTTTTTTTTCTTATGAAAGTCTAAATAAACCAAAATATTGCTGTTAATTTTTAACTGGTGCAACTTTACAAACAGCGCACCATACAGTCATACCGTAATGTGGGTGGCATTGATGTATCTCGTGGCCTCTTCCTCATCCTCATCCTCATCTGATGACTCATCCTCTTCCTCTTCATCAGGGTCACTGTCCTGACTGCGTCCTTCGTCCAGCCTCAGCAGCACCCGGTTGTAGTCAACTGAGGTTTGATGCAGATTAAAAAGAGACACGGGCTCTAATTAAATATATTTGTAGTAAATGCTGTAAACAGGCACGGACAGAGGGGTGGATGTTCTCACATGGGATGACAGAAGAACAGCGGTTCTTCTTCTTGTTTTCTTCGGTGACACCTACGTTACTCGTCTTCCAGTTTTTAATGGAATGGAGTTTCTGCAGTAGAAGATTATGGATTATTTAAAAAACACAATCAGAAAAAAATGGTCTATAATGTAAAAAAGAGAATAAATGTGGTGCAGTAATTAAATATGAGTTGTATTTATTAGAAAATATGTAGAATGTGATTTTTTTTTTTCCTTTGGTCAAAGCAAAATAACTGCCACGTTTATTTATTTTCTGTCTCAGACAAACAGCTGTCATAAAATATAAAAGTAATAAAAAGAAACCCTACCTCAAACTCGTCCTCCATTAACGTGGGCTCTCCATCCGAGTTCTTCTCTCTGAGCGTGCTCAGCATGCCGTGCAGCTCCGACAGGTGGATCTCCGTCTCTCCAAACAGGTTGTGCTCCAGCAGGGCCTGGTGGATCAGGATGTATTGGGCCTGCACAAGAACACACACTTTTTATCAGTACACAAAGAGCCAGCGGACAGTTCACACAACAAAGCACTGGTTTGTTTGCTAAAGGTCTGATTTTTGATTGGACTAAATTTAGTCACATTAAGCACAAAAGAATAAAAATGTTTGTTGTGCCAATCATACACGCCTAAACAAATTACAATGTTAAAACAAATGGATAACCAGATACAGAGCACGAGTTTAAGCTTTGCAGCTTTCACTTTCACACCTCTGAAAGGTCAAATCAGCCGTCAGGTAACCTATAAATATAATATAAACATCATTAAATGATGGTGCAACCGATGTCAAATGTAATCAATCGTGAAAAAATTCAGTTTTTAGTCAACACAGACATTTCCCACAATCTGCACAGGTTATTTATGGAGTACGAGTCTACATTCAAGGAAAAATGCTGCAAACACATTAGCATGCATGTATTTTTCTTCTGCTTTGCTTTTATATTCTCTATGATTTGCTTTAATAAACAAATTGTTTTAATTGTTTAATTGGGTTTGTGTCATTTTGATTTTAATGATCAGCTTTATAGTATTTTAGTCAACTTTGGTTGTTTTAAAAGCACTTTACAAATAAAGTCAATTGCATTTGAAGTGAATATTTGTAAAATCTCCCTGTTCACATGCATATGTGTATTTATTTTTTTTTTTTACCTCTACTTGAACCATAAGACATCTTTGTCTGCGGAGTCTGACAATATAACCGTAGATGTCCACTCTGCCTTCTGCTTCCAGACCCTCCATCATGGCATCGATACTGATGTAGGTACCAGTCCTGCCCACTCCCGCGCTGCACAGAAACAAAGGGATAGACTGTTGATACGTAAAGATGCAGTGGAGCATCAAAAAGTAGAAGCAGAAGCAACTTGCTGATTGGTTCAAAATATTTAGCGTAAAGAGTAATGATATAGCTATGAACCAATGATGCTGAACAATAATCTAATGAGGGGATGTAGATCAAACAAATCATCCCTGGATGGGAGTGGAATGAGTTTAGATGAGAAGTTTTGCGTGCCTGCAGTGTACGACGATGGGACCACTGAAGAAATTCTTGAAAGCGTTGACGCGTCGCCTCAGTTTGAGGAGGAGGTGTGGGTCTCCTGGGATGCCGTGGTCGGGCCAGCTTATGAACTGGATGTGAGTCACTTCCCTCTCTGAGTTCTTCTCTCTCTTCTGCAGGAAATCCCACAAACACCCCCGCAGATCTATAAATATGAACTCTCTGGGCGTGGACTCAATCGTAAATGCACACTTTTTTCTTCTTCTATCCGTTAAAGTTATTGATTCAGACTCACGTTAATCAGGCTCAGATGGCGGATGATGTAGTCGGGACAGTAGTCCTCTGAGGTCAGCTTCACTATGAATTCCTCATAGATCTCAGTCTCACGTTCTGGAGAGGGCCAGTACTGAGCACACTTGGGCTGCGAACAACACAGTAATAATAAAAATAAAAACAAAACATGACACATTATAATAAGGTTTTAACATTAGACTTCTCCAGACTTTCTTCCACCTGCTCACTATTTTCACTACAGAAGCAAATGTGGGTTTTTTGTGTGTGTGTATAAAAACACATGTAATTTACATTTTAATGAGATGCTTGAGTATCAGTTTATTAATTTTTAAAAACAACTTGGGCTGTGACTTTGATCTAGATTGAGTTATTACCCTGTTTCCTTCTTCGCAGCGGGTTACCATGACGATAATAGATGACTGCTGCTCCCAGATCATCCTCCAGAAATCACACAAAGTTTCTTCCTTTGGCCCTACAGGAAACACACAGACTCAGTGTGAAATAATAGTGTTTGCAGCTGCACCAAGTGTGTGAAATATCTAAGACCATGACTTTACCCTGAGCTGCAATGTACTTTTTGGGTTCTTTGTACCCCTGGGGGGAAGAAGAAAAGAGATGTTCACTTAGATTTCTTCAGTCAAGGAAAAATTGCAAACATCACAGCCTTTAATTTTGATAAACAACACATGTAACAATACTTATATTAAAAAGAAATATTAACACACGTCGATGAAGCTGGCGTTAATGTAGTCACATCCCGCCGATCCGTTTCCTGTGGTCAGCTGAACACGGTTATAATCATCTAGTTGCGGGTGAATTAAAAACAAATATCCCACAAAAACAGGTTTAATGACTCACATAGTTAAAGTCCTGCTGTAATTTACTCTTTCTGGAGTGAATAATTAAAGGTTTGAGTAAATCAAGGCATTTTGGTGTGAGTGCAGTTTCAAAGTACGGTAATGAATTCTCAGACTTACAGTCCACAGGTTGGTTCAAATAGTGATAGTAGCATCCACCCATCATACTCACATGGCAGGATGTCCACATAGCGGTTCTTGAGGGCGTTGCAGGTCTGCTTAGCCTCTTTCACTGTGTATCTTGAGAAAATCCTGGGTATACTCTGAAACAAATAAAATATGATGTTATTAAACCAGGTTATGTAGGAGTTCCAGTTTTTCTCTGCAGCTCTTCAACACCAGATGGCACCAACAAGCTCACACCTGTGGACCATTCTAATGAGCTGTGGCAGTTGATGACTACACTTCGACGCTGGTGTATTGTCTGCCTACCAGTAGTTGTGTTCCTGGCCACTTTACCACTCCTTGAGTTTTCTAAAGACTAAAGCTTGTTTCTCACATGTTTCAGCTTCGATTCCTGAGTTCCTCCTGTGCCTTGCATCTTCCTGGTTTCATCGTTAAGGCTCCTCGTGATTCCTCCAGTTGTTCCTTGCCTTCCACCACCTGCCCACCGATCAATGCAACCTTTCTGGGACCTCCTCGTTTGTGACTACTGGAACTTTTGGACCCTCACCCATGTGAGGAACCCTTTCTCCAACAGTAAGAGACAAACAAATCTTGAACCATCTTCAAGGATACAAACCATCATCTTAGCTCTTGTCCTTACTCTTCAGGGTTCCAGTCCCTCCCAGCTGAGTTGCAGTCAACTGTTGATTTCACTTTGTAAATAAACACTGTTAATTATTCCCTGGTCTTGAAGTTGCTCTTTTTGGTCACTGATTATCTGGGTATTGAGTAAATCACTACTGCTTACGAATATTATTGGAATCATGACAACAGGGTTTCTGCTTTTTTGGCATTGGCCGATTCCTATGTTATCGGCTATTGAAGAAGATGGCAGCAGCAGTTTTGGTCATGCAAAAACGGCTTCTGGGACTCGCCAGCATGTTGGGGACGACCTTGGAGGGGGCTCATAAGCACGGACCGTTGGAATGCCCACAAATCTGGCCATTTTGGATCAAAAGTACCAGCAGAACTCAAGGCTGACAAGAAGAAGGCAGTCTGCTTGAAAAAAAAATCAACAATTGTGGCTTATCTGAATCTGACTACCCCGTTTGGCCTCGAAGCAGGCGACTTATCAAATTTCTCATAGGATATGTGTAAATTAAGGAAAAGCTCTGTCTATCGACCCCCCCCCCCACACACACACACACACCCAAGACCTCCTGTTAATTGCTTATCAGAGCTGTACCGGCTGACACCAACATCTTATTGTAAGGATGGTACTTTTCTGTGGCCCGGTTTGTGTCTGTTTCCCTCGTGCTTCCTCATTAGTTTCCATTGTTGCCACCTGTGTCTCGTCCCAGCTGTTTGTCATCATGTCTCGTCTTGTCCCTGTATTTAAGCCGTCCTATTCTGTCTTGTTCTTCGTCGGGTCGTCTTCGTTGGTTATTTTCCTTGGGTCTCCTGAGTCTTTCCCTGAGTCTTCCTGGTCCCTCGAGTTCCCTGTGTCTCTCGTGTCTCCTGAGTTCCCCGTGCCTCCTTCCTAGTTCATGTAAGTTTTGCTGCCCCGTCAGCTTGTTTATTTTGTACTTTTATTTCTCATTAAAAGCCTATTTTTGTATATCTGCCGAGTTGAGTCCCTGTTCTGCACTCTGGGTTCGCTCCTAACCTCAAACCATGACACTTATCAGGATTATGGACTATCTGGAAGTGCTTCATGGACAAACCTCAGTGTCTTGTCGTCACATGCATATGTAATGTGTTTATAATTGTGCTTGCTGGTAGAGTTTTTTGATGTCTCAAACCATGTCCTGATAAGGACAAGATGTGAAGAGGATCTTTTTTTTGTAATACCACTATCCTATCCTCATGGCCTTTTCCCCTATTTTCTATATAAAAAGTGTTCTGAAAAAAGATAAGGGGCAACGTGCACTCCGCCCATCTTTCGGACGACTGTACGAACATAATCTCACTGTATTTCTGTACAATGATAATAAAGCTTATTCTGATTCTGATATTTGTGTTCATACCTGAATTATTCTAATAAGAAATGTGAGAAGGAAACAAACTAAGTAATACCAAAGTTCATGCTTAATAATCCAGGTATAAAATCCAAAAATGTTCATTCTGGTGATCTGGACGGTTTCTATTTTGCTGAGACGTTCCATCCTTCATCCAAAGGACTTATTCAATCTGAGGAGCCACCAAACAAACTGATTCTCACAAACAGCACACTCCATAGCAGAAAAATCAATGGCCCCTCAGATTGAAGAAGTCCTTTGGATGAAGGATGAAACATCTCAGCAAAAAGAAACGGTCCAGATGACCTGACTGAACATTGTTGGATTTTATACCTGGATTATTGAGCATGAACTTTGGTGTTTTGAACCACTTTGGAATGACTGTCTCAGAGGAGTTGATGGGGGAGAGGGCAGGTCCTGGAAGCCATCTTAGCACCAGCAAACTTTTTTTTCCTACTCTGGGAGTATGCTGTTTGCAGGAATCAGTTTGTTTGGTGGCTCCTCAGATTGAAGAAGTTCTTTGGATGAAGGATGAAACGTCTCAGCAAAAAAAAAAACAAACAAAAAAAAAACGTCCAGATGACCTGACTGAACATTGTTCAAACTAAGTAATGCTATTAATAGAAATAAAGCCTGTACATTCAACATGATACCTGAAACTCATCCATGAAAACTCTTGCTTCGTCAGCCATCTTCCGTTTGTGGGTTTCCAGCAGAACTTCTGCAGCGATCGGTTCCACAGTCTTCAGATTTTCCTCTTCATCTACAGCAGAAAAGAGAATGGGGTTCTGATGAAAATCTCCAACTAAATTAACTGATTCTCATCACGTTTCTAGACGTTTCTGCACACCACGTCGGGCTGGTTGCCTTTTTAAAACACAATGTGATCTAACGTTTTAGATCAGCCAAGTTGTTGATTTTAATAGTAGAGAAGAGAATACAATTGTTATTTCAATCCAAAAATTGGTTGTAGACGTTACTGCATCCACATGCAATGAAAAAATCATGGCACAAAACATAAAAAAAAAAAACAATAAGGATAAATATCACTAAGAACAAACACAGATATACTTTAAAAGTACTCACTTCCTGTTTGGATCAGGATCATGCGCTCACCCAAACTACTGCAATAAAAAAAGGTGTTTTAAAAACATCTTCATGATGTAACGTACGAGAAGGAAAGAAAGCTTTAATACAAGTTATAACAGTGGTAAATGTCAACGTACACCTGCTCTGTAAAATGAATACCTCTATAAATAATAATAAGCGTAACGTGGGTGTTAGTTATCTTGTAAATAGGAATTAAAAGTGAATAAAGATCAAAAGCAGCTGAAGTGCTGGACTGACTGAACATCACAGGAGGAAACATCCTTACTGGGACTTTCTGCGTTTCAGAACGTAGATCTTATAAAGAACCAGAAGAAGAGCCACGGTGGTGAGGATGATGAGGAAGACCATGAACCCAATGAGAGCTTTGTCATTATCTTAAAAAAATAACAAACATTTGTGTCAAAGACAAAAACATGCAAAAACGTGCATAGATGGCATCTTAAAATAAATCGGCACATACAGCTAGTTTTAATCTTCACTTGGAATGGCTCGCTTTTCAAGACTCCATTGGAGGCAGTGACCTATAAAAACAGAAAGAGTCTTTATTAAAAGTCAACATTACAAAACAAAACAAAAGTTTCAACATACATACCGTTACTTTGTAGGTTGTTAAGTAGCTCAGA